TTTGAACTAACCATGGATAATTTTAAGTGATGATCCCGTTATACTTAAAACTCTGTATCCTATTTTTCACGTTCTGTTAAAGAGCAACGTTAGAGTCTAACCCGTCCTTTAGTAGAACATGTAAATGATGTGCCCTGTGCTGAAATTTCCTTATCTATATTTTGATCTTGAATATTCGCGATTAAGATGCATATAACATACTCCACGTATAGAATTTAATAAATGGTATTAGCAAAAGTGTTCATTTAAGTTGATGCATTTATGTTTATGTGTATACTTTTACTAAATTAGGTGTGATAATGTATGTATTTTCTAACAAAATTTAACACAAATTTTCCAACTGTAAGTATAATCTTTCAATAAAATTAACTTATAAATGTTAAATTACTTTACACTTATTTTATTGATTTATCATAGAATTTACATTTTAAAACGTTACATTTATTTTTTGTTATTTATTTACAATTTTTATACTAAAATAACTGAATAAATTTTATGTTAAATAAATAAATGACAAGAAATATTAATTACTCAATTAATACAATCTAATAATGCAAATCGTGGAACTCCTTTAATTAAAACAATAAATTAAATAAGTAAGAATATGCGTACAAAACTATAGGAGTATAGATACGCTGGTAGTAAAATTGCAAAAATTCTGATATAATTACATGAACATGAAATGTTGTTATACCACCTCACAATAGCCAATATTTTACGTTATCCCAATCAAAGTCATAATCAAAATATTGAATATCAATTTAACAAAATCAAATAACGTAATTACATTATGTTAAATTAATTATTATTATGTGGATGTTAAAAAATCAACACCAAAATTTTAACAATAACAGGTTTTAATACAAATACGAATTATTTTTTACTGTATATACAATAGATGGAAGCTTTAGATTCACTATGATAATGTTACCTCCGATAGCATACTATTCCATTATTATAATGCCCAACGATATTTCTTTGTCGGATGTGCACTAGTGCGCGTCCATCCTAAGTGAGGATTTCTCTTTTTTGCGGATTACGCGGTCGATCATTCGCGCGGCTCCTTCGGTGTTATCAGTGACGATCGGAAAGACGACGAACGGCGCGTCGGGATTCCGCGCGAGAGGGCATCATTCGTCATTCAGCGAAATGATGAATCGCTAGCACAACACGTTCATAGACGCACCGGATGACGGTGAATGGGTCATCTCTCGCACGCGTCGATAAAAACCTGTATATGCCGCGATATAATGTACTTCATATTCCGGGGTGTTTCAAGCCGCTTTATCGTGCCCGCCGTCCGCATTCCATCTCCGCCTTCTTAATTAATTAACGTGGATACGCGGTGTTTATCAACCGGATAATGCAGCTGCTGCAACTTGCGCGGAAGAGAAGGAAACTTGCCAGTAAAAGTTTACTCGATTCTTGTCTTGCAATTTATACATCGTGACATTAGGATTTTTTAATCCAATTTTGCTTCTCATATCGTGTTGATCGTTTTACAAGACAAATTTTTTTAAGAAAGTTCAAGACATAGATAATATTAACTTGAAAAAACTTTGATGAATGTAAATCTGTAGATATACAATTAGAAAGTTTGTGTGTGTGTGTGTGTGTGTATTAACATATTTTACATGTTTTATTAATAAGTTACTTAAATTTTTACGTTAATTTAACATAAAATAAATATGTTAGAAAATAATACAAATGTTATTTAAAAAGCATATTTCTTTAGTAAAATTAGCATTTATAACAATATATACAGCAATATAATTAATATATTTTAATAAATTTAATATTTATAATTATAATTTTAAATTATAATGTGAAATTAAAATATTCGAATCATTTATCGTAGAATTTACATTAAAATGTATTTCTTTTATAATATATCATTTGCTCACCCATTTATAAGTATTATTTTTTGAACTATAAAGATATTGAAATAACTAAATTACATCACATTTAATTAACACTGGGATATGTTATAAATTCAATGCAGAAATTTTAACAAGAACAGTTTTTAAGACGAATACAAAAAATGTTTATTATGTATTCTAAATCATTTAATTTGATGTTTTCAAATTATGCGAGTTACAATTAGTTTACGTAGGCATAGGCTCATAATTAATTCTTTTATTTGTAAATCTTATAAGTATAGTCTTAAAATATATTAGTTGAATCAAAATATATTAGTTGAATCAAAATTCAAAACCAATCAGAGATCTGTATTAGAGCATCTTAAGACATTACTTAAGACCGTTTTAAAATAAGAATAGACTGCGAATATTACAATGGAGTAGAACCCCCATAGTGTTCTACTCTATGTGATTTATGTTTATTGTTACAGGTATCTTGATTTATTCAATTAAATTAAAGCGCAAATTAAAAGTTATTTGAGCTACAAGATATTTAAGCTAAATTATAAGTTGTAAAGATGACAAAAATTTAAATTAAAAAGCTCTAAATCGATATGAAAGACACATCTTTAATTACTAAACAATTTAAATCGCGACTAAACGTTCCGACAAAGGGGGCATACGCGACCGGAAGGGTTAAACGAGCTGCTCACTAATGTAGACGTATTAACGGGTGTTCTGTCAGAGACAATTAAAAGCATTGTTTAGGTAGCGTTACTTAATCGGTGACATTTAAGAGCGTTATTAATACAATACCATAACGTCAATTAGCTACAATTCCGATGGGACCTACATCCGACATATCGCTATCCCATTCGCGTCAACGTCCACTTGAATTTAATCGTGGGGTTCAGAATACCTCATGTAAAACATGAGAAAATGTGATTTTTAACTTCGTTATACTCGGTGAAAAGGTGCGAGAACCAAAATGGAACAATATATATGCTTGTCATGCCTCGACGAACACGCGAAGGAATGTAAAACGCGTAATCAGCGAACTATAGATAACGGATGCCCTACAATCGTTGAACTTTGTCATTTATCATTTGTATTCCTCTAAATGTAAAGATAATGTAACGATCGAGCTTATTCATATCCCGTCTTCACTAGAAAGATTATAATTTCTGAGGTCTATATCACGCCAGTAAAACGATCAGTACAAGTTGAATACATTGCTTTTACATACAGAAAAAGCTATAATTGAATAACAAATGAAAGTGATTCAAGTAAATTAAATAATTCTACAGCTGCATGCAACTCGTCACTTGATTGTCACTCGACCTCAAGCGAATTAATTTCTGTTCGAGTTCTGATACTTTTGCCAGCACGCAAAGCATTAATACAATGAGATAATAGTGTACCTACGGTATTATTTTGTAATTGCATGGTAAATTAATTATAATTTTTGGTGCAAACTATATAGGTATATATTCTTTATATACATATAAAACTATAAATATAATTATTGATACTATTAATTATTTATCATTGTATACTTATTAATAATTATTATAACATTATAGGTAAGTAACAACTATATAAAATTGGTGCTTTTAATCATAATTATGCAATAGTCACAAATACCAAAAAGATATAATAAACTTTTTTGTGAGAGTATCCATGTAATTACGACATATTATAAATTATAACAATGAAATTAGTAATGGAAATTAGTGTCGAAACCACGAGATTATTTCATAAAGAGATCTGTAGATATTCCCACGCGGTTAGAATTGTAACGTTTCGCGCAATTATGCAAACATGCAATCTCCTCTTTTAATACGTTATCGTCAATATCAGCGCGGACGTATGTATGTACTCAATTAGCGCACTTTGACAAGTCTCACAAAAACTTCTTAAATATTATTCTGTAAAGCTTCCGGATGTGGAAGCTATCAGAAATTTCCGGGTGAAGCCGGATGGATAAATCGTGCTTGGCACGCACACGGAAAAAAATAATTTTCGTCATCGCGCGCATGCCATTGTCAATTGGTCCCAATAAATGTGTACGCGTGCGATTAATCCCTTCTATTATTATTACAGCACGCTACATTCAAGGGATGTCTTAAAACGATTTTAGGATACATGCAAGTTCTTTAAATGTCTTCAGAACGTCTTTTGATATTATATGCTGTATGGGATTCCATCTGTTTTTCGCACTGCCGCGAAAACATCATCGCTGGAGAAATCGTGAAAATAGCGCAAATGCAAGATTTTATCTTGTGCGACTTGACTCTTGTTACAAAAAATAGGCACGACTTGGGCAGAATTCAGCGCGCCGCGTATAACATAACACTCCGATAACCCAATTAGGTGTTATCGCGTCATTTAACTCACGAGGACGATGGTCGCGCGAGGAAATCATCGGAATCATTCTCGAGAGATCCGCGCCGTTAGCGAAATAAGTACCAGCTTGTTACGAGATTCCTCTCGCGCTCTCATATGAGACGATTTAATCTTTTTAAGTGACCAGTCGTAGTTCGTCAAGGACACCAAAGTAATTTTGAAATATACATATATTGTCCATTTATACTTGCACACAATATAAAAAAATTAATAAAAATTACACAATTATGCATTTTTACAAAAATTAGTACTTTTACCTCTATTTGAGTAAATATTTATGTATGAAAAATTACAATAACAATAGTATATTTTATCATTTTTATTTAAATTTATATAAATTTTTATAATCTTATATGTAAGTACATTACAACGGTGATATCATAAATAATCTGTTTATATTTTTACGTTTGTACGTATTGATAACACAGCGTAAAGAAATATAGTTCATTGACAATTCATTATATTTCTATAGACTTAACTTCAATTGTTTTACTTTGCAAATATACACCTTTAATAGTAGAAAATTATCCATAATAATCATTGCAATTATGCATGACATTTTTTTACAGTGTATATTTTTTGATTTATGACACTTTGATTATAAAATTTTTATTGATACATATGCGAATTTATTGATATATTTGGCAATTTTTACTCTGTAGGTAGAATAAAAAATGGTTCGAAATTTGTCTGCTAAGGTTTCAGAATTTTGCGATGACTATTGCGAATACTCACCCGAGAGGTGGTACCGATTGCAAAGTGTTATCCAGATCTTGGATCGGACTCGGGGTGTAACGTTGTCCTGTTGCTACCCCGTCCTGGACGAACTCAGATGCGAGGACGATCCAGACCGTCAGCAATAACAGTGTAAACATCTTGCGTAAGGAACTCGCAGCTTCCTTTGATCCGATTCTTTCTTCGATGCTATTCTGGATTATCCTTTTAACTCGCGGTCTCCTCAATATTCGCGCATCTAATATGCATGATCCTCGATTGATCTTGAAGGATTTTCCCAAGTTATCGCGATCATTACACTGCCTATAAAAACAATTTATAGATCTTTTATAGAATCTCGTCCTGTAAATGTCTATTTGACTTTTTATTTTTTATTATTTTTTATAACTCTGAACTATCCGAGAATTACCTAATGTTTTACACATATATCAACTGATTAGAAAGAAAATTTCCATGTGAATCTTATGTATCCTCCTTTTCCTATTTTACCGCGTGAATTCTCGCCGAGAAACATAACATGCGATAATTCGCTCGTGACTGTGATGTCTTTCCGGAAGTGCCAAATTAGTACGATGAGATAAAAGCAACTATCTTCTGATATAAATATCCACCATTGCGTTTTGGCGAGCGAGAATTCATGATTAAATTCGCATTCTGTTGTGGCGAACAATTTATCTGTTTACTAAAATGCATTTACATATTTTAACGCCATAGAGTATGGAAAATAATTTATAAATTTAACGAGAATTATTTTAGGAACGCTCTGACTTCGTCCTCTTAGCCCGATATTTAAGAAGGATTAATATTAATATTTCTTTAACTGGATACAAATAATAATTTACATTAGGAAAAAAAAATTAGTGTTTTCAGCAAAACTGTTTAGTATAAGCATTCCTTAATAGCAATCAAATATTTTGTTCATATAACAAAAAATTTAATTGCCTTTACAAAATAATTTCTCTGCTTTGTAAATAATAAAAATACATTCTAACCAAAAAGTTTTTGTTCAATATTAATATTTTAACAAAGTTTAGCAAAATTTTCGTTTATAGAATAAAACATTTTTTTTAATATAGAGACATAGAAATAGATTTATCGCCTTTTTTAAAATAAAGATCTGAAAAATAAAAAATTTAAATAAATGTACTAAAATTTTTTTGTCTTTTATTTAACAAAATTTTCTTTGAATGATTTATCTATCTTTTTCAATCAAAAGAGAAAAAGGAGGTTTCTATTGAAGCAGCGAGTCTTGCAAATTCGCGCTTTGTCCGTGCAGTTTCTATTCGTTATCATAACGCAAGGCGCGACTAACGCCTGAAGCCTATCTTTAAAGTTGCATAAATGTAAGCGGCTCTCGCGAAAAATGAACAGGCCTTGCACGTCCTATTACGAGCGGAATGAATTGAGATAGGACCTCGACTGGAGCGTTCCAGCTTTGAGCGTTTCACCACCGTAACGAATGAGCTCGTAAAGTCTGTACCACGGCGTTATCGAGCTACTATTGAAAGCTCCTCTTTGCGAGGAAGCGGAAATTTCCGAGAAAAATTCGTTTAGTTATATAATAGCAATAAAAATGTTTTTATCAAAGAAACAAAACCGATTTTTTTAAATCAAAATCTCTTTTATCTCACTTATTCTTTTCTAGAAGAACTGTAGATTTCTTCGTTTCAGCAAAAAAAAATGAAAGATTTTTTTTAAAAACAGAAAAGCTTATTTAAGAAAAAAGAATATTTAAAAAGGAGAAGAATTTTATTCTTTTGGAAAATAAAATTTCCATCGCGACGAGTTAAAAGGTCATCTTTTGGACATACCTGTTTTAAACGAACAGCAGTCTAGAATAATTCCATAACTAGCACGAGTCGCTCGCAAATATTCGCGCTAATAGATCTGCGACACGCGTGGGTTGGTCGACGATCGCGCATATCGCGATTGACTGTGTTCGACGTGACGTTGTGATCTCCAACGACGCGCGCGATCACGCGTGAAGAAACCGAGAGCCGCGATCAAAGATCATTCTTAAAAAATCGCTCGCTTAGGTCAGCACTCTGCGAATCAAGTTCCAGTTCAGATTTGCGACTAGATCTAATCCCTGAATCATGCCACGAATAATTTATGATACTATTAGTGACGTGGTGCTCGTTTTTTTTTCAGTTTAACGTAATGGACTGAAGAGATCTTCGGAGAAAATTATTAAAGATTCAAATAAAAAATTTTTTCTTAATAAAAATTTTTCTGCAATTGCATATACATATTTAACCTAGATAGCACAGAAAGTTAAAAAAAAGTTTAGTCATACATCGTCAATTCTGAATTCATTCTTACAATAGATGCAAAAAGAATTGTTTTTTCATATAGAAATGAATTTAGAATTGATGACATACAATTGAATTATTTTTGAATTCTTTTTAACTCTCTGTATGCTACCTAGTTAAACGTTTTGAGATTTAAAATATTAAATTCAAATATCAAATAAATATTAATTAACGAAGAAAATTTATAACGGCAAATTTATAATTCTTGAAGCATAATTTCATTCTACGCCTCCTAATTTATTAATATTTTATTTCTTCGCGATGTTATATCTTATTATCAAGCATTAATATATATCATTTAAATATCTAGGAGACAAGCAATGTACAGTTTTTAAGTTAAAATCCGCGTCACTAATTAGGAAAATTAAAGTAAAAGGACTTGATATATATATATACATATTATGTATAATACTTCGGAACACCTACGCGACTTCCGATTTTCGGCGGATCAGCGATCGATCTTTCGGCCCGCTCGAGATCGATCGGTCCTAAGGAAGACGGACCTCGGAAAGATGCGCCGCGACGGAACTCGACGCGAGACTGGAGCTGTAGTTTGTAGACTCGAGGAGAGGGCTCATCTGGGAGAGGTCTCTCTCTCTCTCTTTCTTTATTTCTCTTCAACATCTTCAACCATCCTTATCTCTTGCTCTCTGTCTTCGTATCGGTCTCTGTTCTCTTCCTCTGGTCCATACATCGTGTCGATCTCGTTCTCCCCCTCTTCCCGGGTTAAGATGATGACGACGAGAGCAAGACGGGCCCACCCCTTCTACTTAGCTGTTAACACCACGTATGTGTGAAGGCACGGACACGCGCGCGTGCACACGTGCATACGTTCCGAAAGGATGCGCTTGGATGCTTGATCGATCAGTCAAGAATGCGATTTGCGCGAAATTGGCGGAAGTCAGGGGTGTAAGCTTCTTTTGCTCGTGTCAATTTATTAATTGGTACCGATCCGTCTTGAGGACACCGTGCTACAAACAGCTAATTATATGTTTTGTTCAAAATCAAGAAAATAAATTCTCCTTTTTCTAGTTTTTTTGTTCCAAAAAATTTTATTATTTATAACTGATATTATGTATTTTCGTCTTATACTTGTGTTATTTAATTTTAATCTCTTCGAAAAAAAGAAGTGTAAAATAAAAGTATTTCCTTTAGCTTATAAATTAAATGATCAAATTACATTTTGATTAGCAGAGTCAATGGATTAATTTAGTAAATAAAGAAATATGTAAAAAGAGCCATTGATTTATATCTTATTGTTTTGGATAGCAGATATATGTTTTCAAGTTACTTTATTCTTTGGGGTAGTTATATTTTATATTCCATTGTTTCTTATATAATTTATCACACTAATGTGTATACGTGGTTATATCAGGATAAATTATGTAATGAAGGAGTGGTCTTGATTCATGCGGCTAAGATATTCCGTTTATTACACTCGTTTTCGTAATTTTCTAGTTAATATTAGATAAGCTTTCACAATTTTCGTAATTTTCTCGTTGGACATTCTTCCACAATTGCGTATGTCTCATTCGGACGTTATTGAATGAAGTTGCAGCTTTGATTGAGAAATCCGAGTGACATTGGCCTATGAGTTTCTAAACCGAAATCAGAAATAGGTCAACAGCTTCGAAATCCGTTCAAGTAAGATACACAATTAGTGTATTATTTATAATAAATGTTATTATACTTGCAAATATGTTTGTATACAGATATTCTACCATATTAATTATAATTATAATATAAAAGTTCTTATTTGCAATCATTATTAAATTTTGAATTACAGTATGTAAAGTTCTTAATTCAAATTTTTATATAGTTACTGAAATTATATATAAATTTAAGTAAAATTTAAATTATTATAATTTTATAATTATACTATATTTATTGTTTATAATTTTTTTATAATTTTACTTAAATTACAGTTTAAGTTAAATTGTAATTATTTTAATAAAATTATAATTACTTTAATTACTCATTTTTAAGTTCTGCTTATGTTATAAACATTATAATTACAAAACCAGAATTTACAATATATTTTATAAATTATAAATTAAAGTAATGTATTAAGAAACATGTTATAATGTAATATAAAACAGAAATTTTTTGAAAATGAAGTGATGTGAATTATATTGTTAATGAATTGTAATTTAAAAGTGTATTATAATCGTATGTTTAAGTTTAAAAAAAGTTAGTTATATTAAATTGTTCTTATTTTATATTTTAATTTATATATCATAATATTTAACTCAAATTTTTTTTTTATTTTAATGATAAGTCTACCTCAATGTAAAACTGTAATTTTTAATGGGATCAAGAACTATGAACTTTGTATATTTCGTTGCGCATCAATTCTTTTCATTGGGATTACGTAATCACCATTGTTGGTGACAGTGTTTAGCGTGGCTGTTCAGGATCCTCAGGGTCGGGTATCTAATGATATGCGGGTGGGAACGATATGCGACTACGCGACAGCGTGTACGTGAACCTCATGTATATACATACATGCATAAAGGGGAAAAAAGAAGCCGGGCGAGTAAACTGAGATGCGCGGCTAATGGGACCGCGTAAAGCGTATTTGAGCGCGACTCGGTATGCCGAGTCGATTCACGCGAGTCGAGAGGCCGCGAGATGCTTGATAAAACGCGAGAGAACCGCGTGGTAAAATCCGCCTCCTCATCCACGCATTCTGCATCAATGAGGATTGTCTGTAAGGCCTATTCCTTGCGGCGCGATGTACTATATGCATATCGCATTCGTGTACAGGATACGTCAGCTAAATCAGGACAAATTTCATTTGAATTTCTTGCTATATTTTATTTCAACGTTAAGTTGGTATTCGTGTCCGAGTAAGAAAACAATGTTCTGTACGAATAATCTCAAAATGACTGAGCAGTCAAGATCGAGCATAGAATATAACCGAAGGGCGACGATTATTGAAAGTCTTCGCGTTGAACGTATACCGGTTGTAATAATTGAATTCAAATATTCGAGATTGACATTTACAAAGTTTTCGCTAAATATACGGCTTCAGAAAAGTCCGAAGAAGGTTCAGCAAATCCGTCGAGGAAAAGCCATTCAAGAGAGAAGTCGACGACAGGGATCTCGGAAGTTGTTCAAAGGGAAAGCCCAAGGGATGATCGCAGAAAACCCAGAGCGCAGTCTCTCAGGAAATTGATAACAATTTTGGGTATGAGTGAGACCACCATGTGCCGAATAACCGAAGAGGACATACGCTACAAGTCATACGTCGTAAAGGTACGACAGATGCTGTCTGTTTATAAAGAGAATTGCTCGCTGATATGTTTTGGAGCAAAAAATTTTGACCTCCGAATAATCCAGATTTAAATCCGTTGGACTATTACGTGTGGAGCGTGATTGAAAGGGTCACTAACAAATCGAGATATCCTAATGTGGCATCTCTCCAGACCGCTATTGAAGCAGCATTCTTCAATATGAACCGGCGTTGCAGATAGCATGCTATCGCTTCAGGTCCAGGATCGAGGCAGTAATTGCGGCAGACGGTGGTTACGATGTTTATCTATAACGGTTCCATAAATGACACGAAAAAGGATTTTTATGTAATTTTGTACGTTTGACCAATAAACTTTTGTTAAATACATTGTTTATTTTGTCCGGATTTAACTGACGCACCCTGTATATAGATTGAATCGCTTGATCAATAATGATTGATATATCGAATATTGAATAAATTATACACGTATCAGCATACGTGACGTTTGGACTTGCACAATTTTATCTTTTTATTAAAAAAAAGATTATATTTATTTAATATGTATATGTACAGGGTGTCCCATATAACTGTGATCACAATTTTTCTGGCACCATGTGTCAATAATCTGACAAAAATTATTTTGAATATTTGAATCATACATACATTAAATGTGTTAAAAAAATGAACTTGAAGGAGTAATTACTATCTAATAATTTCTAGATGAAAATTAGAATTTCTTTCATGAAATTTTAAATGTGAAAATGAAAAGGCTTTATTGACCATATTGATTAATACGCTTCTTTTTGTGAGATAAGGTGGATATAAAGATTATTTTAATAATCCAATAAAGTTATTTTTGATCTGTATCTGTCTTAATTTTTAAATACTTCAATAAAATAGTTATGTTCATATAAATGTGTGTATAATAATATATATTTTGTTACACACATTGTTATACAACATATATAATATTATAAAAATGTTGATATTCTTTTTATTAGAATGAAAATAACAACGATCAATGAATGTAATTCGCTGCGTGTTGTTACGCAGCGGAGTAAAAGAAGCTTTATATACTTTTCTTATGCAAATTTCTAGTAGTAAACGAAGCATGTCAAGTAACATACTATTATTCGTTTTTCTTAAGTTACTCAGGAATTGAATTTTTTCATATGTAAAATGAGGATTCTTTTTGACGATTTTTGATGTCAGGACAAATATTTCACGACAGAAAATTACTTCATAATGATTGCAAACGTAATTTTGACAGTTTTGATAAATATTTAAATGGATCTTTAATTAATATTGTGAATTAAATTAGAGTCAATCCAATCAAATTAAAACGATAAATTTTTCTAAATCTTTTTATGATGATAATCTTTAAATATTTATTAAGAAAGAATTGTACTTTATACTATTTACATATGCGTGTCATTTCATTCATGTTATTTCCTCATTTCTTATACTTGTTACCAGCATATTTATTATTATATTAAATTTTTAGTTATAATCTTAAACTTCTCTCTGATCTTTGAAATAATTCCAAGATATGTAAAATAGCATCAGAATCAATTGGTTTTCAAGTTGTACGTTGTACGGTTAAATACTCAGATACAGTATTCAACGCAAGTACCTACGCACTTGTTGCATGATGCAGCAATACACCGTAATTGTAATTCGTTGCGCGACAGACAAGATCGCCTAACACAAACATGATCGGCAGTGATTACTAGCTAGGTTGACGCCGATCTTGAATGCAGTAGCAGCTGCACCTGCAATCAGCGCGTAAGCTGACACGACGTATAGCGTGTAGGATAAACAGGCTTGACTTGTTTTAATATTTGTATCGAAAACCCTTATCGAAACTTAAGACAATTTGAACAAAGAATCATACCAGACTAAAACTACTTCGCTAAAAAAATATAATTATATTGAAACAGAAAATTGAAAAATTAAATTGGACATAAATTTAGATCTTGAAAAAATAAAGTTCATTGCTTAATATAATAGGATTAATAATAGAAATCGAAATTAAGACTTCCGTTTACTCATTACGTTTATTTATTCTGTTTATAATATTTTAAATTATGACGTCAGAAGCAAGAAACACAATAAAAATTCTTACTCATTATATTTGAAAATAGAAATATTTTTTAAATAAAATTACATTTACATTTGCGCGCACGCGATACTATACACTTATAAAATATATCGAACTTTTTGTTTCTGAAAGAAATGAAATCATTATATTTATTTTTATATATTATTTATTAAAGTTCGTCATAGCTGTGAACATAATTTATTTCGTTTTTAGTCACGCATAATTCATTCTAGATATATATAGTTACTTATTAACAAAAGAAAAATTTTTGGTATATTTTATAAGTTAGTTTTATTAATTGAAAGTGTTACTTTATTGACCTAAAACATATTTCTATGTATATTAAAAAATTTTACAAGAATTTTGATTGCGTATTTTTTTTTCTGTTATAATCGGAGATTATACTATAGTATTACTATAGTTCTGAATAAACAGAAGTTTTAAGGTTGAAGTCAGTTCGACGTTGAAATCAAAAGTGATTTCGTTTATTGGTCTGATTAGAAAAGGGACGATAATATTTTTGATGATAAGTACGTCACCAGTATCCGAGGTTGTTTATCGCGTTCACTGTACAGTGTACATTCATCTAGAAGCACCCTCTCTCGTAGATGCCTCTTCTCATAGTTTCATAATAATCTTGCTAGACTTGTGGACTGGTCCCGGATGAAAAATCAGGATCGCTGTTATTTCTTTCTTAGGCAGCCAGAGAGACGTTATTAAAAGATAGATCGTGAATGCGCTTCTTCAAGTGAACAGCGTTCTTGAAGTAGCATTTTATTCGGCTCTTGCTGGAAAGCTACACGTCTCTATTTACTGCAATAGTCAATAATTCGATATATCTTTGCATGTATAATATATATTATAATATGTGTAATATATATTATAATATATATGTATAATATATGTGTAATATATATGTGTATAATATATATATATATATTATTTCAAGCTTTTCAGTTCTTGTTTCAATATTTAAGTGTTATACTCTTATAATCATTTTTATATGTATTATTACTTAATTGATGAATTATAATGTTTGTAAATGTAATAAATTAGTTATTACGTCACTTCGTAAAATAGAATATTCTTAATTCTTCTTCCCAATCGCTTTACTTTCTGCTTTCTCTATCAAACTATTAATGTAGATCTTTCTTGTTTCGTAAACAGCGTCCACGAAGGACCTTCTCTGCCAGAATTTTTGTTTCTTTTTTCCGAAGTGCTTTAAGTGTTTCCGTAATTGCATATTCATTAGGTCATCCAAATTTTTCAAATAATCAGAATAATTTATCTGATCGTCGATGATGATGGCAGTATGTTGATTTTTTAATATTTCATCGTCACTCTTTGTGTTTATTCGCTGATACTTCGCGATCTCATTTCTTTTCATATATCTTGTCAGATCCAAAGCAGGTAGATAGTGATAAGATTCCGGTGACTTCAAGGTTCGATATTGTCTTGTATGCGACAGACAATATTCCATATCTTCGTCTTCTATTAATTTCAATTCTATTCTGTTTTGATACGTCAAAGATATATCAGATTCAATTTTGAAGAAATGTTTATTTAAAAAAGTTTCTCGCAAGATCTTTCCACGTTCAGGTCGAGTTGGATCCTTCGACCACCATGATTCTTTCAACAGTATTATTTCTTGCTCTTTATTTTTGTCTTCACAGATCTAATATATAAAAATACATAAAAAAATGAACCAAAAAAATAATTTTTGATAAAATTGATCTTCTAAAAAGAACTAAAAATATATGAAAAGTACTAAAAATATATAAGAAGTTTTAAGAAAATTTAAAATTTAGTCGTATTGAAAAATTTAGTCGTATTAAAGAACGTATTATAATTATCTGTAAATTAACATTTATTATAAATTTTGAACAAAATGACTAAATATGTAATTTCTTTATTTATATCCCCCCCCCCATTAAGAAAATTTATTTTAAATAAAGTTAAGATTTTTTAAAGTAATTAAGAGTTTACTTAAGAAATTTTTAGATAATATAAATAAAGTGATTTAAGAACATTAAAATAAGTTAAGACTGACTTTTAAGTAATCTTAAAAGAATCAAAAGTTTTATTATTTCCATTGCATTTGAATTTTTTAAAATAATTTCAAGTTTTAAAGTAAGAGGTTAAGTTAACTTAATAGGCAGCTTCTTGCTGGCCGTAAGATTTACAAGAAGTCGTAGATATTTTCGAATGGTTGTATATGTTACGGTGTATATATGTCACAGAATTATAATATTAGTTATAACAAATTCTTACAAATTTTACGAGAACAGGTTACGAGAATTATATATAACAAATTACGAGTTTGTTTAGAATTGACCCATTAAAGCCAAAATTTATATTTTGTATTAACCTAAGAAATACAAAAAATAAATTAAGTTTTTTCAATGTAAATTTTTAAAGATTTTCTAAGATTCCCCCCAACGGTAAATTGGAGCAAATGCGTACCTCAACAGCGTCCTGAGCATCTGTAACAACCTGAAGAATCCAATATGGTGGTTCCAAAGCTTGGCCATCATTTGCGATTTGCTTTGTATCCTTCCCCACCGTCAACAAACCTGACCTCGATGATGCTTTATTCTCGGACTGTATCTTTGTTTTAATATCTACCACTCTTTTCACCTTTGCCTGGTTCGCGACTATCCACTCGATATCCGTCAGGGGCCAACTGTTATTGAGTACAAAAGCCTCTATATAATATAATCTTTTTTTCTCCTCATTTTTCGTCTCTTTGCTAATATCTTGACTATTGTTCTCAATTCCATAATCTTTTTCATTTCTAGCGATATGTTTTAAAATCACTAAGGGTAATAATACCGTTGAACCACCGTCCACGTCAATCAAAATGTTGTCATCTTCATCGACAACTTTTATTTTGATTTCTGTTAGGCTATAAGAGGTTGTTAATCTTATTGAAATGATGCTTTCTTCTGAAGTCATTGGTAGCCATAGAACCCAACGAGAGATACAATTTCTCGCGTTTGGGATATAAGTACCAATTAATTCGTTGATTATCAGTCTTGGTGATTCGCTCTCGAAGGACAAAGGTTGCTGCTCATCCAGTTGACAGAGCATTGGGTCACCTTTTATGGTAATCATACGAATTGTCCAGTCGAGCTCTTTAAAATGCTGCTTATCGCTCCAGCTGTAAGCGAACACCGTGTAACCATCCGGAACATATTCGTAATGAGTTGGGACCACGTGGTTCACGAGACGCGTCATCTCGTGTCCATTTTGGTTGTTAAAGACACGTAGCGCAAAACGAGGGAGATCGATTAGCAATTCGAAGGCGACGAGTACCATCTTTGTGGGCTTAGGATTCACGACGAGTCTGGTAATTGGAAAGTACTGTTCGTGCCTGATGTTTCTCAGGACACCTTTGCACTCCTGAATATTCAGAACATGTATGAAGTCTTCGGAACAGGGATACAGATCACGCAGGTTATCATGATGACTAATGACATTTCTTAGTAACCGACTTGCGAGAGATACATCAAATAGATACGATATCTTCAAGAGTCGTTCACGAATCTGTGTATGGAGAGCATGATTAGGATTATGAAGTTCTTTATATCCCTTGACGAGAGCCATCTTGAGAAAGGATTGAATTGTAGTTGCAGCTTGATTTAAAACTTCTTCACAATTGCTTGATGTGGAAAACCATATTTTCGAAGTTTTTCTTATTGTAAGATCTTGAAGAGTTTTTTCATTTGTTATTAAATCAAAAGATTCTGATCTAATATGTATATGAGGATTTAAAAAAAATATTCTTAAAGAGTGAAGAATGTCTCCTAGTTCTTCGTCGGAAACAATCTTCCTGATTAATTGAACTTGTTCTTCCATAAAGAAATGGTGTATTAGCTTCCGAAAATTTTTATTTTCTCTTGAAGAAGCAAACTGCAAGTTAGGCATGTAGCTTTGGTAAAAGTTTTTTAACATTGCTGGATAATTACTTGTTCCAAACGATCGATAAGCTTTACAGAGGTTATCGCTAATTATTTTCGATATCTCTTCGATTCTACAAGACTCTGTGGTCATCAGTTGTTGCACAGTCGCCCGATCTCCGAGATAAAAATTCATATCTGAAGAAATAATCATCAGACCTGAGTCCAAACGACTGTAAATCTGCAAAAGTTGCCTGCCAACTTCCAATTCCACAATAGTTGACTTGTTGCCAGTTGTAGAAATGATTATCGATTGATCCGATAAATTCGATGTAATAAACCAGTTGTACTTTTCTAAGATTAAGTAATCCTTCTTTTGCAAATCGTTTCTCTTCTTCGGTGCGGCGTAAAGATTGATCAAGAAAAATTTTTTCTTTGGGGAATCGCAGAATAAATAAAGAGGTTTGTATCTGGATTTTTGAATCTTGCCAATATTGTTGTAAGTGTCTGTAAGTTTTCAAATAAAAAAAATTTTAAGAAAATTGGGTCGAAATCTCAGTATGTGTTATCTTGTTTATGAAAAGAAGAATTCAATCTATTTTTAACATTAATCTTCAATTTATGAATATCTAAATTCTTTGAGATAAGAGTCTTAAGTTACAATAAGAAATCTACAACAAGAAAGCTACAATAAGATATTTGATCATTTCTTTTTATAATTGATATATATTCTTATACATATATTCTCTATAAAATATTGATTAGAATTCTCTCTAAAAGTGAAAGTATACCTGTTGTCTCCTTTCCAGTTTCTTTTATTGAAGCAGCCTTTGCTGCTTCTGATTTATGATTCTCATTGGCTACCCTTAAGTCGTCTGTTACTTGAATTGATTGCTGGAAGTATTCCAGCTTGTAAAACAAATATACCTCCGTCACATATGAGGTCATCTTGTTGAAGTCGATCCATCGATTGACGTCTTCCGTTGCTTTTTCTTTCGATGCGGTGGGCAAATCTGATATTCTCTGAGATCTCATTATTCTCCGAGTAAATTTATCAGACCGCTCGATCTCGTTTGAAGAGATCAAGTTTCCTGCAACGTCACTTTTATCACGAACAACGCTCCTGTTGCACTCCTTGAGAGGACTGATCACTTTCAAGTAACGAATCGGGACGAAGTAGTCGGCAGGATCGATCATATTTCGCGAAACAGCCCATTTTAACCAGCGATGAAATTTCCACTTTGCTAATGGCGGTTTTACCTTGGAAAATAATTTAAATTAGAGCCAATTATAATACGCACAAAAAAGAAAAAAATTTTTTAATATAATAAAAACATTTAAGAGAGGTATCTAGTATTTCTAGTATTTCTAATATTCTGATATTTTTTATACGCGTTTTAGACTTTAGAACTATTATATTTGTATAATGTTAATAGTTTTATTTCTTTCAAGACGTTTTCTTTATTTTTTAAAATTATTTTATCCTTATTATTTTATTATTATTTCCTTATTATTTCCCAGACAGCACAAAGAGAGAGAGAGAGAGAGAGAGAGAGAGAGAGAGAGAGAGAGAGAAGAGAATTAAAATAATTCTTTTTAAATTCCGGAATTATGAAATATATTCTGCTTTAGTCCTATTACTGATTCAAAACTATTCTTAGGAATTCCGAAAAATTTCATTTTTATATCACCAATTTTGAACTCTTTTTCAGATAGAAAAGAAAATTTCGTTATGAACAGATTACACGTAAAGAATTTAGAAAAGCAAATTTTTTAATTTATCATTGTTATCTGTGCTATCTGGGCTTTCCTATGTAATAAGTTATAGCGATATCCGTCAAGAGATAGAGTCATTGAATCAAGACTTGATCCTCTTACATCTTTAGGATCTAGAGGAATATCACGCGACTGGATGATATGAATTATGTGATCCCAGCAAGGCGACAGACCAGGCACTGCATCGCTTCCGAGTGCTTGTATATCGTCCAAGAGAAGGAAAAGTGCGATTGGTTGAGATTTCTTGACTTCGATAGTAAGCGACTGCGGAGTTTCTCCGAGTTTCTTTGTCTCGTTGATCATATTCACAGAGTTTTCTATTTGGAAATACAGGAGGGAATAACATAATGTGGTAATCAAAGAAACGCCAATAGATCGTTATGGACATGTATATATTATACATTTGATGTACATACTTGAAATATAATCTTGTGCAGTTTGCGAAGTCCACTCAAAATGTTCGGAATATTTCATTAGGAAATCCCATTTGTCTTGTAACGTCAGATGTGCGATGTTCATTGTCAAGCAGGTCCAGCCTGTGTTACTATTAAAATTTATATTACTATAGAATCTTTCTTAAAATCGTCAACAGGATAAATTATGTCGATTTATTAATTCATTCATAACAATAGATTTTGAAACGAGTTGTTGGAAATTAGTTTAAAGGAAGAAATTTTTTGGACCAAAGTAATTACATTATTCTATTGAAAACAAAACAATAGAATGAAATAAAACGGACATTATGTCCACCTGTAAAACAAGTGATTGGATGGAAGTCGACGATCTCGCGGTGTCTGATCCAAGTCAATGAGGCCAGTTTGAGCAATGCTTTAGCGAGAAGCATCGGCCATAATTCGAAGTTGTTGGATGTGCTTGGTAAAAGGAGCTTGCCGTTTTTATCCACAGGAATGATATCGTCTACTAGGATGCGACGCCAGCACCCCATGTAATGTAATCTTACAACATATTTTCCTAGAAGATATTTACGCATATTATTTGTTAGTTGGAATCGAAATGGTTCAAGCAATATGCATATATAGACAGAAAATAATAGACTTATTTTGTTTTTGAAAAATCATTATCAATCTTTGAATCTGAGATTTAACAATGCAAACAAAGAATTTAGAAAATTTCTATATAAATCAACAAAAATATTACGAACTATAATATTACGAACTAAATATAATGTCATATCTACCGTTTGGATTTATTATGGGTCGATGCTGAACGTCTTTCCCAGCTTTGTTCATGGAATACACATGCATCCAACCATACCAGGGATTATAGCGATTGATCCAAGTGAAATTCGAGCTCTCCCCGCTGATTTCTAAACCCTCTCGGCCGCAATATTGCAAGTTTACCAACGCGGACACGAACCATCTCACAAACTGGAAATTGCTATTATTATTAACGCTGCTTATTCGCTTTACAGCAATTTGTAACTCATTAAATGTTATATTAAATTACAGTTAAAAAAATACCTCGCTGTGTAACAGATGCTTATTGTTTGTAACCAAATCAGGATATTCCACGGTCATTGTATATACTGTCGGAGGAGCCTGAAGAGCATTACCGTTTTTATAAAGTTTATGTACATTAATATATAACACTTTGTTGTCTTGGCTTAATTAGAACTTAATAATCGCTTTCTTACTTCAAAGTGATACAATTCAACAAGTTTTTCAAAAAAGGGAAAAAGCCGTTTTTAACTTGAAAAAGTTGTTGACTCAAATAATATGTTGATCAAATAATATGGACAAAAGAAGATACTCTTAACACGATTAAATGTCATTTTTGTGATTTTTTGTTTTACATTTTTTAATTCTTTTTCAGTTTTAATAATTTTAACGATATATTTTAAACCACTTTTTTTGAGTAACAATTTTGATGTTTTTTTAATGGAGTTAAATTAATTCACTTTGGATGAAATAGAATAATATTTACTTAATTTATTTATAATAATAACTTAAAGATTAAAAGAGAGAGAAAGAGAGAGAGAGTATTTCGTCACTTTTAAAGTAAGGGAGTATGTCAATTCAAAAAATTAATGTTCTTAATTTAAAGTACACAATTAAAATAGTGATGGTACAGTTAAATATTTCAAATCCTTTGCTCGTATCCAACGGTCAGGTTCTAAAGACCAAGGCATTATGACACGTTCTGCGTCTAGGAATAGACCATCTGGACCGTCTTTAGGAATCTCCCATTTCTCGTTATTTAAATCAGAGTCTTTCCATTCCGGCCATTCGTATGCAACATATGGGTCAGGATGATGATCATTCTTAGCGGTGAAGAAACGTTTAGACTTTTCTGACATATTGCAAGAAAAATAAAAAGTAAAACTCTGAAAACTGCATCTTCAAGAGGTATAGGAATTTGTATAGAGTGTAACGATCAATTGTAAATGTTACTCTTAATTCTGAAAAAAGTATATATATTTTTATTTATCCTTTATATGTATATTATACACTATCATATGGACAGAATGGAATGTATTTATACCTCGTCGATGGTCAGGAAACTAAAAATTACATATCGATTAGTAGAAGAAGAACCTATGTAACGTATAGTACATTATAACGAATGTTTGTTATACAAAAAAGATTAAGATAAAACAATACATAATTTCTAAAATCTTAAGAAATAATAATATAAAGAAAAGGAATTCCACAAGAACTATGATAGTTCTACAAACAGCGTGATTTGTCATTTAATATTCTCAGCAATATAGTTTCAGTCCTTTCTTCGATAAAATCTAAATTCTATCCATTTATATACAATTTTTTGCAATTATAATTTCATAACAATTATACTTTCGTAACATAGCAGAAGATTCAGCGATTTCGATTTGATAATTAATATATCACTATTCTTGCACTCTTGTTGAATCAACTGTCAACTTATTGTTAGATTTCTTATCGATAATTTTTCGTTTTTTGCATAACAATGTTGTTGCATTTCGGCTTGTCGCTAAGTCGACGTTTTAATTGGCATGAAATTATTTAATTATATACATACATTTGATCATTAGAACAGATGAAGCGCTACAGCTAACACATTCTCCATATTCGACTAATTAGTTAAAAGTCCTAATTTAAGTCCTTAAATGAAAGTCCGTTAAACTAACAGATATTTTATATTATAACATATACCAAGTTTTCAAAGTTCAGAAATTATATCTTAAATTGAAAATACGCTGAAAGTGTAATTCTCTAACCGTGAAGAATAAATACAATAAGGTAAATTGAACGAATATCTAATATTTCGCAAATTAGAAATAATGTTAAACATATCATCAGTTTTTAATATCGTTCGTCAATACTTCTATAGTATAATTACAATGATAATATGCCTTCACGGAAAAAATTTGTGCGACAACGACGTAAAAAAAATTCAGTCAAGCTCACTTTTCTTCTCCTTGTCTAATAAAAATTTTTTACAGAATTTTTATACAAATTGGAATATTTTTGAAAAATATTGAGAAAGTCTATACTTTTCTTACAATTTTTTTATATATGGATTATAAATCATTCTAAGACTTTAAGACTTCTTATTTTATAATTTCTGATAAAATATTTTTTAAACCTTTTCAGAATTTATAAGATTTTATAAAAAATTATGGAAAGAGAATCTTAAAAATTTTTTAATATATTTCAGAATTTACATATGTGAAAAATTCTAGAAAAGATGTAGCTTAGACTTTCTCGGTATATCTAAAAGTGTTCCAATTTGTATAAAAAATTTGAAAAATTTTCTGAAAAGTTATAAAATTATTTGAAAAATTCTGAGAAAAGTTTCTCCAGCGATTTTAATGGATCCTTTTTTTTAGTGTATCGAGCATCTTTGGCACTGATATTCGCTACAAATCTCCATCCTATTGAACACACATTAAGTAAAAGTAATATTCATGCACCGTGATTTTTAAACTATAAATATTTATAACTTTCTTTCTATCTAAAATCCTTCAAAAATATTTGTTTCAGCAGCAACTATATGTATAACATGTCTCATACGTGAAAGTGAATCAAGAAATAAAGTGTACTAACTTGTAGAATGTAGAATCGATATATTTAGCAATTTCTTATTAACGTACCCATGTAATTAACAATATAGCTAAATCTTACGTAAATGTAGAGTTTTAAAAGCTTTAGAAAAGTTAATTAACTTCAGTCATGACTGAAAGCTTCTGTTTGTAAATAAATGCAGAAAAAATGCTACACATAATGTCTCACATGTCATAAAAGAAAATTATAAGCACACTTTACTTTTTGACTTTTCCCGTATAATATACATAATTTATTTATTAGTATTACCTATTCGCAACTACTTAATAATCAAGAGAACTATATTAATAGCGAAACTCAGCGGTACGCAAGTACTTTCCTCATCCGCTGTAAATAACGTTTCCACGCGTAATATATATTCTTTAAAAAAATAATCCTGCTTCTCTCCTTATAGAAATGGAAGTAAATCGAAATACGCACAAAAAATATATATATATATGTATGTATGTGTATAAAATAATAAATCTACAATCTCTTGAGAATGTGAATGGCCCTCCGCGTTTATCTGGCGAACGCGAATGTCTGAAAATAATTCACGCCCTCAAACTGGCAGTGTTTGAAAAACCTGTTTTGCACGCGCAATTACAAACCCGTGTAAAGCAGGCATTATAAAAATCTTGATAATACTAAAACTGATGCTAGTTACTGGCATGTCACATAAATCACGACTATCGTCGATCCGCAAAAGCATTACATCTAACTGTCGTGACATATTACGTCTGGCAAATAACTTATTTATTGAGAATGCAGCTCATATTACTCAATAATAATTTAGTCAATCAACAGAAACTAACGGCAGTTGTTATTACTAGACGATCAACAGAAAAATTTTTCTCATTATTGCATTGTAATGCTTTCGCACAAACCGGATTCTAGCAGTTGCTAAACTATCTCGAGAAAAAAGAATTAGATCTGCCGAAATATAATCATATCAGTTTCAACACACAAATCTGGTCAACTCTGCAAATTATTTCTATCTGACCAGATCTGAATGTATATAACCACATCTGACTCCACTCTAATAAAATTTTTCATATACAATAATATTAATTAATTTAATCTTATCGCTAAAATAAGTATTATCGGTTAGTATCATATTTCACAATACATTACGACAAAATTATGATAATAGAAAACGTTTCCTGGTTTGAATTCGTAGAAATTAATTTTATGGTGCTCTTAAGTGATCATCCAGTTTAAAGGTGTTTTTTCATGCTGACGCTCGACGTTCATTTTTAGCGTCAAAACAGATCACTCGATAAAAAATTAATGTGAATATCAAGCGACAATTTTAATTACATGACCTATTTTGACGCTAAAAATGAGGATCGAATATCAGCATAAAAAAACATCTTAAGCTGTGCCATGTACATCTAGTGCTGCTTCATCTCTGTAATCATACGAGAACTATAAAATTACTTTGATGATTCACACTGAATGTTAATACATATATGGCGTGACATCTGGTCAATAAATGGTGTACACTCCATATGTAATTACATACAAACATATATGATCAAATTTACGCAGATATGAGAAGTCTGTATATCTGAGCGTATTTGAACAGATATAATTTAATTTGCCAAGATATAATTTGATCTGAGGCCTTATTCTATATACACGTCTACTGATAGTTGTCAGTGTCGTTATGAATTGTTGCGCAGATATTTTGTATAGTAAAAAAGTTGCGCAACTACATAGTGGACAACGCGCGAGTCTACCATGATAGGAGACTCGTTCGATCGACCTCGACAGATCCGAGAAATTTCCACGCATTTTTTTCAGCGGACTAGCAAACTATCAAGAACATCATCTATTGCCAAGAAAATTTCTTGAATTATCGTTCGGTTCGAACCGGCGTTAAATTATAAGCCCCGTCTTAGACAATCATTTGTGTACAACCCGCGTGTGTATCACGGATATAAGTATGATACATACGAGAGATAGGCCCTGATTTTGGGATGTTACGTTATCGAAAGAATGAATGAAAAAAGCTGTGTAATTGACAACTATCGATAAAAATGGAATGAATAGAGCCCCTAGTCAGATCTAATCCTTTTTTCTCGAATACAGAATATCGATTAGGAGAGTATCAATTACTTAACAATTACACCATTCTAGTCGCGGCAGTCTACGTGAATG